TGTCACCCGTGAGGACTAAGATGGAATGCCTCGTTTCCAGTAAAAGGTGTTTCCGGTTCTCTACACTCATCATACGAAATACAGCAGTATTAAGCTGCCATTTTACGCTGGTATTCTGTGAGAGCGTGGTCCTTCCCCGGTCGAGCCGACCCATGCGTGCTACAACTGTACTACTAATATAACTGCAGCATGGCTCTACCACTTATAAACTATTACTACTAACTAATGTTTGCGCAGCCTTGTAAGAAAATATTTCACTAAATACAGATACACTTTCACACACTGCGGGCTCAGCCGCCGTTATAGTATAATATTATGTATGTCCGTCGTCGTAGGGTCGTTGCGCTGGTTTTCGGCCTTTTAGTGGAGTTGTCAACTTTAAGGTACTATAAAAAATAATAGCGATTATGTTGACCTAGTGTTGTTAATAATTTATAGCTTATATAATGTAGTTTTCATTTTGATAACTCATTAATGCTACAAAAGAAATCTATTTTTTATAATAAATTTTGATGTGAAAAATATGCAAAACGCTAGTTTTCGGCCCCAAATTTTAGATTTCGGCCTACAAGAATTTTAGTTTTCGGCCACTGTATTAGAAGAGGTACTATAAACTTATAAGTGTTTTTGTAAAATCAGAAAATGGCGAAACGGTTTGGAAAATCGGTGTATTTAGTTTTCTCAATCGGTGATTGCGATTTTTTAACCGTGACGTAATTTTTTTCTTTTTGGGTGTGTTTTTGATATAAAATAATAACTATGAATAATTATTTCTCTTTGAATCATAATCTAATAATAAAAATTTTTAAATATAGCAATCAAATATTCTCATTTACGAGTATTTTGTACTTCCTCATAAGTATTTTAGTTTAACAAAATCTGTTACCATATCTAACCATTCTCATCTCTAACCAAGAGGAGCCATCTGAAGAAAAAAATTTCTTTTTGAATCTTCTTCCTAAAACGCAATGTGAATAAAATATTTGATATGATAAGATGAAATGACCGTAAACGTAAACTAAGACAGCATTCCATTTTCCGCCGCCGTATTCTTTCATACAATTTTAAGTTGGCCGAAAACTAAATTGTATATATTTTAGAGTCAATCCAGTTTTCGGCCACGATTGAAATGGGTATTTTGTTTCATCACTAACTGTTCAAATTGCAGTACTTAGTGGCCGAAAACTGAAAGTTAGTGTCTACGCACGCTACGATTCAATATAAGTAAGAAAGATGAGTTATAGTACGTAACCAAATAAATGAAAGAGACAAAGTATTTAGGCTAAACTCAGGCACCAACTCGACAACCAAATAATGGGACAATTTTATGTGTCACTTTTCGGCCACTTAATTTATTAACTTTATCAATAAATTATTATAATAATCAGTGTCAAATAACTATATTAGGTTATTTATACAGTGAAATATAAGCACAATATTAAGTAATTATATTAAATACAGCACGAAACTTACTTTTGAATGGAACGCTCGTCACTATTTTTTTTGCTCGATCTTACCCGTTTTGATAGCTTCAGTGTCGGCGTCAAACTAAACTATTTATTATAAATCGCGTGTTGTGTTTACCTGATTAATTAATGCTACCAGATATTGTGAAACTATTTACAAATGCATTAAACTGTATTTCTTACGATAATATTTATTAAAATTGTTATTAAATCAAATTTACTGCATCAGCTCGTGCCAAAGGCCGAAATCTAGACCCGGCCGGCTTACCGGCGCATCTAAGCGGACCCTAAGTGGATTATTACTGTGTCGTTTGTTTACAGCGGTTCGTGATGAAAAATATTGAGCGCTGTAGAAATACAAAATTTTCCAAAAACTAAATTTGATACATATTTGACCAAGGTAAGATATTATTATTGTTTTTATAATCACAGATATTCATTACAATATACTGTTTCGCTAAAAGTACGTAGGATTTATTTAAAAATATACTTATAGGTCTTGGGCTTTATAGAGTGACATGATGGTATACTTTGGTGAATGCTAAATTAAAATACTGGTTATGACTAGATGAAAAACTTTTTGAAAACAAAATAATGTTGAAGAGAATTTTTTTTAAGGAGTCAGGTAAAAGAGACTAGTTTTTACGATAATGCTTGAGTATAAGTACCTAAAAATTAAAGTAACATTAAAGTTGATTTCTGATCGTTCTAAGATAATTCTGTTAAAAGTTTTTTCGATTAACAATAATAAAAAAAATGTTTGAATCACAATAATAATTACATGGTAAAATTATATTATTTAAATTATTAAAATATAAAGGCAAAGCCATGCTCCAGCTATGTTATAGTCGCTTCGACAATTATCATCATGGAACACGCTCTCACTGAAGATCAGGTAACTGGTAACGAGGCACTCCTTTTACCTTAGACCTCAGGGTTGATGACGCATCTACATTTTCATTCTTGATAGAGGGTAGGTGTAGACGTCTATGGTCTACAGCATTAACTTACCATCAGGTGGACTGTAGGCCCGTTTGTCATCCTTGTTCTTCAGAGGAATAAGGCTTGCATGAATTTTCATTTTGACGATAAAACTTTAAATTAAAAAAAAATATTGTATTAATATTTTCTATTGTTAATTGAGATTTTTTTTCTAAATGTTGCACTTCTGGATTTTCAAAACTTTTTTTATTGACGTTTGACATAAAATTTTCGGAAAATAAGAAATGATAGTAACAAACTAACAAGTTCATTTTGTGAAAACTTGTGTGTATTTAAAATACTTTTAAAAAAAATTGACGTATAACAGACATGCACACTTGGATTTACCGAGTTTTAAAATAATACCTTCATATATACTTACACATAAAATATTTGGCTTTATGGGGAAGATATCTTTTACCTTTTTCATAAAACCTAAAACGCAGGCAAAGTAGCAATAGAATTTATGATTTTAGTAGGTAGATAATTTATATTCTGAACACAAACAGATACGCCATGTTAGTATGAGTCCCGCTAGATTTTTTTCAAAAGAAAAAATCTAGTATCAATTTTTCTCAATATCGCTGGAATATTTTTGTTGGTAATCGTGATACTACGAGTTACGGGAATTTGGAACCTTACATTAATAACTTAAGATACTCGACAGCCGTGATGACACAGCGATTAAAATAGCTGCCGAGTCAACAATGTGAAGCAATTACAAAAACACGTTAAAAGTGTGTTAAAGAGGCTGAAAACTTTTAAATATACTCATAATTTACTTATTACTGTAAACCGTGGATCAGGTATGGACATAGTATTTAACGGAGAAAAGGAATGCTTACTGTCAATTATATTCTCTTTATTAATTGGCCACATATTATATAAACCATAACTTAAAAACAAGGATTACATGTGTCCTCAAATAAAGATTCATTTGACTTTAAAATTTCAAAGGTTAAAAACTTTTTTATACTCGTATTACAACTACAAATTTCGGTCGCGAAATAATTCTCGTTGTTGTTATATTGTGTAAGTTAAGGTCAACCTGAGGGGTCAACTTACTTTAGTGGTTTTTTTTTAATGAAATTCTATACGTTCGAAGGACTCTTTCACATATTAAAATAAATAAAAAATTATATTATGCTGTATTTCATTGCATATTTTTTCTGTTTACTGCTAGGTTTAGGTGGGCATAAATGTAATTTCTGATCACGAGGCCCCGAGTTCGATTCCCGGGTATGGGTTAAAACCAGTTAATGGGTTTTTCTGTCAAGAAATTCTCAGTAACAGATGATGGTGTTCCACCTACGTGCCTTGGCGCCTGATCTCGTCGTGTCGGATTACCGTCTCATCAGACTTAGGGATTAGAGTGTGCAATCTGTGCTTGAGTCAACTCTCGAGCACTATTATCCTTTCCTACGTCCCTGCTAGTCTCAAGTAAGGACTGTTCGTCGTGACCGAAATTCGATCTGCAAGACATTTTTAACTTTAATTTATATCTGTCTGACAAATTGAAATTACCTAAATTCATTTAGCGATATAATCGTAACTGAGGGACAATATCAAAACATATGACGTCATACTTTATCTTCGACATATACAATCGTTATGTAACCACTTCTATTGTAATAATTCATCAATTTTCAGACAAATTCGAAATCCACAGGCGCAGAATCTAATTTTAAAAATTTTGTTTAACTTCGTTGTACATTCCTTTTTTTATAAAATAAGGGTGACAAACGAGCACATAGTCCACCTGATGTTGTTTTCCCCCCGGACGGAATAAAAAATGGAGCTTTTGGTTTGTTTTTTTTTGATTACTCAACTTTAATCTATGTAGTAAGGAGTTATCTATCTTCAGGGCAAGAGTGAATAGGTTAATAGAATCAGGCGTTACTTTGCCGAATACCATTATATTAAAGATGGTAAAAGTTACCTTGCCTATATCAGCTTAAAGAAATAAAATGATATCTTACTTAGTTCACCTCCCGCCCAGTTTCTATTGCGTGCACTAATCACAGTACAACTCCCACCACCATTCCACTAGGAAAAACACACCATCAACGATAATACGACACGTATTTCGCCTCTACACGAGGCATCCTCAGGTGAAGTAGACTGCGGTGGCTGACCACTAAGCTTCTTATTCTTAATAAGAGTGAATAAGCTTTTCTTAAGCTTAGTCAGTGTGCTTTACGATCTGCTGCATCATTACTAACCATCATTATATATTTCGCGGATTACCACTTTATATTTCACCAGGAGTTTTCTTCCGATGACCTCTCTGTGGAATAGTTTACCACCGGCGATTTTTCCGGACCGATACGACCTGGGGACCTTCAAGAAAAGAGCTTACTCCTTTCTAAAAGGCCGGCAACGTACCTTCACTTCTCATGGTGTTGCAGTTGTTCATGTGCTGCGGTAGTCACTTACCATCATGAGAGCCGTATGATCGTTTGCCCCGTCTTCTATAAAAAAAATAGTTGTCACGAATTGGTTTATAAGCATTCCATTATGAGACTAATCTCACTGAAAGCGATTTGTTCCCAGTTTGCGTTCCCTCTGCATCAGCGTGGTGTCCACGTCGTGAACTGCTCCAGAGTCTTCGAGGCACTGTTTCATCTGTTCAGGCGCTTCGCTCCGACCGACGAACTCTGGAAGAAAGTCCACTTCCATGGATATGATTACAGTTCTTTACATAGGTATGTTTATCTCGTGCTACAACATACTTGTCCCTGCTTTCCGTTGCTGTCCTGGCTATATAACATTTTTTTGAACTTTAAAACTATAAACTTAACACATTATTCTTACAGGTGTTTATCATTAAACAAAAATATTCTTATACCATGAAACAAACGTTTAAAAATTATACTATGTATAGCTAATACTTTTGGTCTAGTCAAATAAGGTCTGAAATCAAAATTTTGGCATGCAACTTTGCATTTTTTTACAGAATAAGGGTGACAAACGAGCACTCAGTCCACCTGATAATGTAGTTTTAGTGATACAAAAACAATGTGTTTTCATGTGAATTGGCACTGGCAATTACTCGAAAACGGTACAAATTTTTTAATAAAAATATATAAAACTTAAAATTTTTCATAAAAAAGGTGTTATGTTTTCTTTTCTTGGCCCCTTTCTGTTTCTTGTATATATTAATGACTTACCTTACATAGTAGGGGATAACCATGATATAGTATTATTTGCTGATGATACTTCATTAATTTTCAAATTAAAACGACAGTTATTAAATTACGACGAAGTAAATAATGTTATAGCTAAGTTAGTCAATTGGTTTAATGTTAATAATTTGCATTTGAATGGAACTAAAACTAAATGTATGAAATTCATAACTCCTAATGTTAAACATGTCAATACTAATGTAATTTTAAATGGGGAGGAACTGAGTCTTGTTGATACCACCATTTTTCTTGGAATCACACTAGACGCAAAGCTTCAATGGCTCCCCCATATATCAAAACTAGCTAGCAGACTTAGTTCTGCAGCATATGCTGTAAAAAGATTAGAACTCTTACCAGTGTTGAAACAGCTAGAATAGTTTACTTCAGTTATTTCCATAGCATTATGTCGTATGGTATTTTGCTATGGGGACACGCGACTGACACTGAAATTATATTTATTTTACAGAAGAGGGCCATTAGAGCAATATATAATTTAAAACCAAAAGAGTCACTGAGACAAAAATTTAAAAAAATTAATATATTAACTCTGGCCTCTCAATACATTTATGAAAATGTAATGTACGTACACAAAAATAAAAGTAGTTTTGCGAAAATAAGTGATATTCACTCTGTAAATACTAGGAACAGACACAAGCTAGTAGTACCAGTTACTCGACTCCACCGAGTCAGTAATTCATTATTGGGGCGGTGTATACGCTTTTACAACAAAATCCCAGAAAATATACAAAATTTGTCATACACAAAGTTCAAAAATGTTATTAAACTAAGTTTGTATAAAAAGGGTTATTATAATATTAAGGAATTTATAGATGATAATAACCCCTGGGAAGGGGTGATCGCTACCAAGCTATTTCTAATTTGTCTTGTGTTGTTGATTGTAAACATGATTGTAAGCTATTATTAAAAAAAAATAGTCTCGCTGGGTTTCTTGCTGGTTCTTCCCAGGACAGAGGTTTTTTTTTTGCGAACCAGTGGTAAATTAAAAAAGTGACTTTCAATAAGTATTTTTATAATCTACATTGAATAAAAAAAGTTTCTATTTCTATTTCTATTTTCGAGTTAGGTTGCTTTTAAGTTTTTTATAACATTGTGTGACAAACGAGCACACAGTCCATCTTATGGAAAGTGGATGCTGTGGCCCATAAACATCCACATTTATCCTCAATTAAGAATCAAAATGCAAAAGCGTTGTCACCCGTGAGGACTAAGATGGAATGCCTCGATTCCAGTAAAAAGGGTCTCGGGTTCTCTACACTCACCAAACAAAATACAGCAGAATTACGCTGCTATTTTACGCTGGTATTCTGTGAGAGCGTGGTCCTGCTCCGGACCCATTCGTGCTACTACTATAATACAGCTGCAGCGTAGTTCTGCTACGTAAAAAACGGCGTAAATTTAAACAGATTATCTGATAGCCTTCATAAGCTTTCTTACTTTATGATCTGATTTCTTTTAAATGCTATACAGGATCTTAATAATGTTCTTTAAAAATGATTATTCATGTCTTAGTGACCTGTTAATATCCCCCTCGGCTCATAGAAGGCAGTCTTTCGATGTTACAGAGAGACAATCAAATTTTATTTATATGTAATAGATATATAGATTTGATTTCGATTTTAAACAAAACATTACCCCCTCCTCCCCACCATTAGTATTTTCTCTTGTACCGTGGAGGCAGTTTAGATACATACATTTTATAAGTACAAACATCTAGACCTATTTATTACTATTTAGAATTATTTGTAGGCCATACAAATATTGTTCATTGCGGGATTCGAACCCACGGCCCTTAGCGTCGTAACTCATTGCTAAGCCTCTGCTTAACGTCGTTATATGTGAGGTTTTTTGGAACTGTCTACTTGATTAAAAAAAGATATATCAACTAATAAAAAATCTATTAAATTTCTACATAATCTCGATTCCATAATAGGAGTAAGAACTTGATGAATCTTCCTACAACTAAACCACAGAAATGCGAAATAATAATTGATAACATGCATCTCCTCATAAAGTAAGCATTATTTTATTTTGCGATTGACACTAATGGGTAGGCAATTTATTAATGAACATTATGATCAATTTAATTTTTTCAAAGGACTAAAATTCGATTTTATAGAAAAAATATTTTAAACTTTGGGCGTATTTTTTTACGCGATTAATTGCAGCTTAAAGTATTGTTATTTTATAATTGTCGGCGTTTTTGACACTTTACCGCGGGGTCTTACTCTGTGTATTATGGCTTTAGTTTGAGTTTTTTTTTTTTACTTTAAATATTGTATATTTTTATCTAGCAAAACTCGATAGGTAAGTAATGTTACTACGTGTTATACGGTCAGAAAACATCGTGAGGAAACCTATGAACGTATACCAGCTCCAACATGAAGAAACGCTACAATGTGACATATTATGTCCGCTGTTATTTTCGTGGCATTTGACAGTCCCATCAACGTGTGTCAAGTGGTCAAATAAAAAACTATATACAACCGACTTCAATGTAAACAAAATGAAAAAAATATCCATAATAATATGCGGGGAGATCTGTTCATGATTTTGCCTTGGCATATGGTCTGACATAACTAGTTACTTCGCCTTCGCGGATTCCAGATGTGGAGGATCATACACCTTCCCTGTTTCACCTTCTGCTAACATCTCGTCCGGACGGATAACAGATTTCCGTCGACGCCCCTTTAGGATCCTCGGACCATTGTCTTGTCCGGAGTGTGGTGCCACTCACGCTGAAATCGCAGTTGCATTCTGCAGGCTGCCGTCGTGTTTGGCAGCCGATTTGGATAGGATGCGATTTTTCTTTGCATCCTACCTGGATGACCGAGCTTTGCTCGGTTTTAATTACACATTTTTATGCAATTAGTTTAATTAAAATTTTCGTATTTTTAAAAATACTAAAAAAGGGCTCGAAATAATAGATTTTCTCACAAAAGAAGGGAACTTGAAAAAAAAAAGGAAAAAAATCGGAACGAAGACTTGACGCGAACCAAGGCATTACGATTTTGCGACCGCTCGCTGTCCACTTGAGCTATTACGATCATTAACACAATGTCAAAATTTACCTTCTTATGTTGTAGCAGTTTTTCATTGCCTGAAAACACGGACAAAAAGACATTTTCTAAAAAATGAATCCTAGCTAGATCGATTTATTGCCCCCGTAACTCTCTAGACACAAAATTTTATGAAAATCGTTGGAGCTGTTTCAGATATTCCGATTATATGTATATATATATATATATATATATATATATATATATATATATATATATATATATATATATACAAGAATTGCTCTAAAGGTATAGGATAGGATTATGGATATTTAACTCCAACACTACTGGTCAGATTTCGAGCAAATTTATATGAGATCACACGAAAAGCAAGAGCTTTCGTATAAAAAAAAGAATCATTAAAACCGGTTCACACAGAAAAAAGTTTTGTGGTAAAACACGTAATGAACAGTCGAATTGAGCACCTCCTCTTTTTTGAAGTCGGTTAACAAAAGAATCTGGTTGTATTATGCATGCTTCTAGATAGTAATTCAGCAAATCTCGCAGTGTGGTGGCGGCTAACAAAGAGAATCTGTGTTGGATTCCTAATCGCCTCGTGTAAGTCGTAAGAGGCGGCTATGTAAGATTTCTAACGCTCAGCACAGTCCTGAACATAAACCAGATTTTTTTTTAAATATGTCACCATTTTTATTAAGAAACTAGTTAATATTTCCTTTTTAATTTATGTAATAGCAACATTATAATTATAATTTTTACTTTCAACTTACGAGTGGGCTCTACGGGTGAGTGTGCCTTTTTGTCTGTTTGTTAATAAACGTAGTAATAGTTAAATTTGGATGTTATTAGTGGTCCTTCGAGCCGGATATGAACCAGCGACCTGTGGATCTACTATCTGATACTGCGATTGTCAAATCACTTACCAAGTGTGACTATTAAGGCAAAGCCTTTCTTCTACTAGAGGCGTTTTCTTTTGTAGAATTCAAGGGCGTACTTTTTTCGACTTCAAACCTCAGTAAATAGCAGCACATAAACTACAACGTCAAAATGTATGTCCTTAGCCACACTGTTTCTTGTTTTCGTACTGTTGTATTATTCTGCGTTTTCTTTTACACTCTTTACTTGAAGTTAAGTTGAACTTAAGTCTAACAGTAGACTTTCACAGTCCTCCGTTTTTATAAAAGATAGGCATTTACAAGTGGGAAAATTGAAAATTTTGTACAACCGACTTCAATATAAATAAACTTTTTGAAGTCGGTAAGAAATCCAGAATGGAGTTTTAAATGTCTGTCTTAAAATTATGTTCTGACTTTTGTCAATAACTTTAGGTACATAGACCCGGAATGTCTTCCCAGAAGATACGGAGGCTACAGGCAAGAGGTGTCACTCAGCGAGTGGCTGACCAAGATCAGACACTACAGGAACCAGCAGTTCGACGAAGATATGAGAAGATTAGGATATGCTGTCGATTAACGGTGGTGTCAACCTCGACTTAGACGAAAGAATATGCTCTTCTGCATTGTTAGATTTAAAAGGCAATAATTTATCAAACAAGTCAATAAAAATATTTTATTACTCTTACAGTGTTTCAATGTAATATATAATCAATTATCGTTAGAAATATTCACCTGCATTTTATTACGAAATTAAAGACGAGCGTGATAGAGTAGGTCCATATATATAAAAGTTACAGCCTATATACATCCCTACTCCTGGGCACAGGCCTCCGTTCATTTCTGAGTTTTTTGTATATCTATCAATGTTTCTGAGAGGGTTTAAAGGGAAGGAATCGTCCGCCGCGCTGCCCTAATGACTGTTGGCGAGCTTCACATGTCTTCTAAATATACCGTCGGATTAAAGCTTCGTTATTAATTTCTAAAATTCGATACATTGACTATGAAAAACTTTACCCTATAAAAGAACACCAACCTGAAGCATCAGTCTACGTTGGGAAAGCAAGAAATAATCAACTGCATAGTTTGGTGTTGCAGTTGGGTTGCATATTCAATCTAGTTTGGTGTTATCTTGTATTTTATTTGAACTGTATTCCTTAAGTAATTTATAATTTAAAGTCACTATTATGAAATGCTCCTTTTATTTTAATTACTTTGAGACTAATTTTTATGAAGTTCATAGTTACTGAGCTAACACATACGTGTTAATCGGTAAAGGAAAACATCGTGTAGAAACCTGCATGTCTAAGGCATGCAAGTCAAAATTTCATGCTTCCTGACCGCCTGAAAAATAATTCGTGGTTTATGCTTGCGGTCGTTGCCAATTGGTAAAACTCTATTTTCATTAGTACATATGTGATTGATACTAATTTCGCATATAATTTTAATTTATTTGTAATATCATCATTATGTAACTTGTATATCAACATAATTATGGAAGGTACGAAGGACCGCCTCATGTGGGGGACAAGTCGAAACAGTGTCCAGCTGTAAGCAGCAAATTACTTATAAAATGCAAGAACCCACCAAAATGGCGCTAACGTAATGTTACGAGCTTGAGGTTAGTGACAATAAAACTGCCGATTGAATTATCAAAATTAACACTTTAATTCACTTTACACTAATTAAAACTTAAAAGACACTAATAATTAATCACACTGATTCACTTTATTTCGCTCCGAAGCTTCGCTTGTCACGCCAAATTCAATACTGCCCCGATAGCGGGTTGCGGCGGCTTAAATACACCTTTTACACCGACACATCCAGAATATTCCCGTAGATACGGGCGCCGACCGACCAGACGCAGAAAGTTCGAGTGTGGGGCTTCTAGAAAGCTTAATTCTTCTGTTCGATACTAGACGGCGCTGTTGGTCGAAAGATCAAGATTGATATTTTCTAGGAAGCCCTCCTCGCTTTGGTCCCCGACACTAGATGGCGCTAGTGCCAGGTACCTGACGTCAACTTAGGCGCGCAACAGTAACAAGGGGAAATGTTATGAATTTAGCAGTTGTAAACGGAGAGAAGTGTGAGTTGAAAAATTTTAAATCTCTGGTGACTAGTGTAATTGAGAATATTCCAGTTTATAAAACGTGAACTATTTACGTAGTTCAAATTAATTTGGTAAACATAATCTATGAAAGTGCTAGATAACGGGGAGAGTGATTTCATTTTAGTAAGTTCTTGTAGATACTTTTTTTGTGATTTTATAGTCTTTACTGTCGTAAAGCTTTAAAAAACAAAGAACAATAATGGGAAAAGTTTGTTTGAAAGTTGTCCAAGTGGGCGAAATTTTAAAAAATAAAGAAAATGATATGTCCCGTCTTCTGTCTTTTTTCTGACCAACATGGATGTACGTGGTATGTACGTGGTAGAGCCACACTCAGCTATATTATGGTTGTAGCACGAATGGGTCGGTTCGACCGGGGAAGCACCACGCTCTCACTGAATACCGGCGTAAAATAGCAGCTAAATACTGATGTGCATCGTATGGTGAACGTAGAGATCCTGAGATCCTTTTTTACATGATACGATGCATTGCATCTTAGACCTCAGGGGTGACAACGCATCTGCGTTTTGATTCTTAATCGAGGATAAATGTAGATGTCTATGGGCAACAGCATCTACTTAACATCCGGTGGACTGTGTGCTCGTTTGTCACCCGTATAAAAACGTAAAAATGTAAAATAAATTTATATGAATTATTATTTATTCAATAACCTAACAATTTTTCGCCTTTATAAGTTATCTTGATATATGAGTTTTGGTGCTAACCTTAAAATTTGCCCCTTTGCTTTACTACCGAAGCGCCACCCTAATTTGACGCTTCTCGACGGACACATTTTCATACACAAAGATTGATCCTTCTAATCTTTACCCACCATAAACATAATGAAATACATCTGCTCAGAAAGGCTAGAACCCAGAGCCCTAAAGCCAGTTAGAAAAAAATGAAATACATCTGTCGACCTATCAAACCAACCAAACAAACTAATGTAGCTGATTGAACAATAATTTGTTTCATTACCCATAACTTTGACGAAATCCAAAAGGAGATTATTTATTGTGAGATATTTTATTCAAAAGGTTTTCGCCGGTTGTATGTACTCGTACGTCCAATTCCTATATCCCATATCTCCCTAAAATGTCCATCGGATGGTACTCGTACGTTCAATTCCTACATCCCATATCTCCCTAATATGTCCATCGGATTGATTGATACAATTACTTCAACTGTTTTGTCATAATAACGCGGGTAACATAAGTTTTAAGGCGCTCGATGACATAAAATAAATATGGCGGAGATGAACTTTCGAGAAGTCGTGACCTAAAAAATATTGATAAGCATATGTATTTACCCACAGAAATAGAGATAATGGACTGTGCGTTCCGTATTCAGCGTAATATCAGAAAAAATTACCTACACTCCAATATTCTTTGGATGTCGTTGTTGTAGGAATAAGCTTGACAAATTATTACACATTACACCTCATGTTAATACTACCGAATACGAGGTTAAAAATCAGAATGCATATGCATGTTCATCCCTGAGGAGTGATGACTATGATGAAATGCCCTCATAGGAAACACTTTATGCTGCTATTTTACTCTAGTACTCTATAGAAGCGAGTTCTTGCCGCGGTCGAGACTCGAGAGCTCAAGACGGCTCTTTCGTGCATGATACGCTGCTACCTCGTACAAAATTTGTATTTGAAATACTCATATTTCATTTATAATCAGATTAATTTACTAGAATATCACGTTTTGGCTACATCATCGGCGCTAATATATAGTAATCATTTTTATATCACTGTGAAATCAGAGTTTCGTGTGATATAGCAATAATATAATACCTTCGTAGATTTCCTCGTCACTTACACTATTTGGCATTACAGTCAAATACAAGTATGCTCTATTCAAAACACAAAACATAACTGCGCGTCTACGCGCGGCTCCTCGATAAAAGAACGTGACATAGTGGTTTTGTAAAACGCTGAAGCAAACTGACGACTATTAAATGGGAGATTCAACCGTTTTTTCTTCATTTTAGTCATTAACTGAAAATAAGTTTCAACAAATAAGTCTCGGTCAATAAGCCATTAGACGACATTGATGAGTTTGTGCTATTCCTTAGTCAAAAAGATAAAGCCGACAACAAAAAAGTATCAAATAATTTCCGCATTAATAGCTTCACATGTTGGGGTTTAATGTACTATGTGTATATATTAGCACCGACTTCGTAAGCTATTATATTATTTGGAGATTATTTTATTCCATAGGGTTATTTTGCAATAAATTTGCAGAGAAGGGGAAAAATTAATTACAAAAAATCTCAAACATTCTGTCCTTTTTATCTTTTAAATTCAAAATGCCTGGTATTGCTTTATGTCAACTGATTTTAGTGCGCACGCACACGTTCCTAAGGGTCGATCGGTAGGCAAAAACGTTAGGAATGGTTCGAATATGGATTTCACCGAATACGAATATTCGGTTGAACGTTCGGTATAATTTTTACCGAACCGAATATTCGGCCGAACATTATTCGGCAGGATTACCTCCGTACCTAACCATTTTATGTAGAAACTTGTTACCGTAAAGCGCGCGGGATTAGCGCCGGAGCCTTCCCCTCGCTCCCCCGCCACACCTGACATGTTATTGCACTTGCATCATCTAGTACTGAGCAAATTGCCGGCACATGCTTATGTTTTGACTATTTTTGTAAGAAAAAAAGTATTTCGTTGTGTTATTCTTAGTGAAAATTGATAAGTATTTGATAAAAATGAGTGGCAGGAAATCTACTATTTGGACCAATTTTAGAGAAACTGAGGACTGTAATGTAATGTTTCTTTGTTTGATTACAAACAAAATTTTATTAAGCTTTCTATTTGCTATAATTGGAAATAAATCCTCAAAAACATAACGCTATATAAGTAGATTTAACCCATAAATAAATATACTTTCAACAGTAAAAATATGAAAGATATGGCATTCGTACATTTCCATACAGTAGATAGGTACTTTGAGTACCACTTTAACGAATTACCACTTAAACCATTGAGTTATACAACACTAGAGGAGCAAACCACATTACCGCGCGTCGAAAAATGTGTAACCACTATCCAAACGCGACGACGTAGCTTTGAAAGTAATAACAATTTTAAATAAACATATATCTATCTCACTTACACAAGTTACGTAAACAATATCGTCGCTAAAATTAGATAAAGATAGACGCACAAACATGCAATGGCGGGTTGGTGTGGCTTACTATATAAAATTTTACCTAAAATACGCAATAAAAATGAGTTTTTTTAAGCTTCAGTTAAGCTTCAGTTAATAATTTAGCTTCAGTTAATTGTTTTTATATTAAGAAAGTATATTTTATTTTAAAATCTTTATTGCGTCCCCTTAGAAAAAAAGAATACAAAGCTTATCAGATGAGTTAGAAGTACATAATGATGAAATAAAACATATTTTTATAAATATTTTTTACTGTACTAATAAATCAAGTAATATAAAATA